CCCGCCCGCCCTCCCGCCCGGCGCCAACTCCCCCCTCCTCTCCTCGCCACGCGAACCCAGACGCAGCGTCGCAGCCGCGACGAAGCGCCGGGTCTGGCCAGCGGCCGGCCGGCCGGCGGCGGCGTCTCTTGAGGACGTATTATAAACCGCGCTCGATGGCGGTCGCGGCCAGTGACTGACGCACCGCCGCGGAGTGCCACAGAGTGCGCGAACGACAAGAAACACACGGCCGCCGACATGCTCGTGCTCGTCCTGGTGTCCGTGGTGGCCCTGCTGGCCGGGGCGCTCTACTTGTTCCTGGAGCGTCGCTACTCCACGTGGAAGCGCAAGGGCGTGCCCGGCCCCAAGGCGTCCGTCCTGGCGTTCAACGTGCCCAAGGTGAACAGACTCACCCTCACCTTCGTCACCTCCTCGGCGACGCGCGACCGCTGACGCTCACGTCCTCGGCTTGTTGTTGTTGAAGGTGATGCTGGGCCAGGAGAACATGGGCGACGTGACGGACCGCATCTACAACGAGTACCGTGACAGCCCCTTGGCCGGCACGTACATGTTCGGCAGCCCCCTGCTGCACCTCCACGACACGGAGATCATCAAGCACGTCCTCATCAAGGAGTTCCAGGTGACCGAATGCTAGCCCGACTGAACGGCAGGCGAGCTGGACAGGAGAGTTCCAATGTGGTCCAGGAGGGGCAGGAGGCGGGGAGTGGGAAATGAATCTCTTGTGATTGTCATGATTTATCATCCTGGAGATCAGTCCGCCCAGACTGAAGAAGCACTCAAGTCAGCCTCGCCCTCTCATGTGAGTGTGTGTGTGTGTGTCTTTCCTACAGGACTTCAACGGGCGCGGTATCGGGGCCTCGGTTTCAAACGCCGCCGTGGACCCCCTAGCCACGCACCTGTTCTTCCAGTCCGGACAGCCATGGAAGACCCTGCGGGTGAAGCTGGCGCCCGCTTTCACCTCCGGCAAGATCAAGTACATGTTCGAGACCATCCGCGAGTGCTCCTACCAGCTCTCTGTGAGTCACAGACCAACAAGCTGATTAACACCCAGAAAACGGTTCCGTCGATTCAATAGAATGACATATTATGTGATAGCATTTTTCTCTTGACCCAATGAAATTTGATTCATTCAAGGGGAAAATTCCAATTGGGTATTGGAAAATCGCTTAAAGTTGCGAAAAATTCTGTCTTATTTTCCATTGTTTAAATTTTCATTAATCTCAGGGATTCCCTGTTAATTCAATGGAACCATTTTCTGTGTGTACAACCTTCACGCACACGGCACAATTTGAGCCCCTCGCGTGACTCTGGATGGCTTCGTCCCCATGCAGGACTACCTGGACGAGCGCATCGCCGCCAACGGGGGCTCGCACTGCGAGGACTCGCGCACCCTCATGATGCGCCTGTTCGTGGATACCATCGCCTCGGTCGTGTTCGGCATCGAGAGCAACGTCGTCAAGAACCCTGAGTCGGCGTTCTTCACGGCCGCGCAGGAGGCCGTGAAGCCCAACCTGACCAACGCGCTGCGCTCGCTGCTCGCGTTCTTCGCCCGCCGCTTCATGGAGGCCTTCAGCATCAGGAGCACCAGCCCGGCCACCACCAAGTTCTTCCTCGACGTCGTGAGCGACACCGTCGACTACCGCGAGAACAACAAGGTGGAGCGCCCCGACCTGCTCAGCCTACTGATCCAGCTCAAGAACAGGGGCTTCGTCGACCCGGACAAGGCCGACGGCAAGGTCGCGGAGCAAGGTGAGGCTGTGTTCGATGGGCTGCCTAGCGTCCCGGCGCGCACTCCACCAGAGCATGTACTGGAGAGGCGAGGCCACGGCCGACTCCCTGCACGGGGAGTGTGGGAGAGGGAGGAGGGAGGGAGGGAGGGA